CCATGTTAAGCAGGGCGACGGGCTGAGGCGGCGTGTGGGGGTCTTGCACTGGCACTTTTGTGTCGTGGGTTGTGTGGGGGGGGCGTGGGGGTATTTATTTTCAGCACGTTTGAAGAGGGGTGGGGGTCTATGAAGTTGGTGATCATTTGCATCCGAAGATCAAAATCAAATCCGAATTCCCGCAGGTTAACCATACTGGATCAGTCCACATTAACCTAGTCCCTAGGCGTTCTCTCCTGCCCCGTTGTCCGCGCAAAGTCTGGGAAAGAGCGGGCGAGAGAGGGCGAGTCTCCCTCGGTGAAGTCACAGTTCACGATAATGTCCAGGATTGAACGAGCCAGGGACTAGCTGATTCCACATGAAATATTGCAGTCGTGATTAATTAATGCAGTCTATCATTTAAGAATATGGGGGAGGGGAGGAAGGGCTTAACAGGGGGAACGAGAAGCTTAATAACTCTTTCCCCTGAAAAGGGGGAGCTTAATAGACTGGATTTACGGTAAATAAAGAAATGTTGGAATGATCTTTTTGTTTGCGGTCAATAACGTTTTCAGACATTAACGAATGCCGAAATAAGCAGAGTTGTCCCGAAGACAAAGTGTGTGAGAACACAGAAGGTGCTTACAAGTGCACTTGCAAGAATGGCTTTAAAGATGATGAAAACGGCATCTGTATTGGTTGGTATCAGCTGCGAGTTAAAGTAATGAATATTCATACTTAAATTTATCTCTTAATGTATCTGAGTATAATCTGTTCGCAATTATCTTGACAAGAACAAGGACTGATAAAGATGAAAGTGGCGAAGAAATGAACGCCTCGCCGAATGCGGGCTGGTCATGCAACAGGGATCTGAGTAAGGTTTCCTTGATTAAACTTGTGTTCTGAATTTCATTTTGCCATTATATGAAGCGACACAAACTTAACGATATTTTTTAGGAAAATATTCAATTACTTTGCTGCGCTTCAGATACACAATTATATTTCGAGAAAGGTTGTCGCAGAGAGTACACGCGACAATCCCGAAATGTATTGTGCGTGATTTTTAGTTCACTTTTCTTGAAAGGAATTTGAAAGAATAGCACAAGAGGCCATGGAGATATGTTTGTGAGTGCTAAAGGAAAGCAACAAAAGTAGGCTCGACAGCTACAGTGTCAGGAACAGTGTATTGATCATATCCCATATTACCTTTCGGGATTGTCGCGTGCACTTTTTTCCGACAACTTTTCTCGAAATACGCTTATGCACCACATTCGGTTTTTTCGAAATTCCCGATAGTTTGAACCAAACCTAGCTTCCTTTCTCCAGTCCAACACTATAATTGTACTTCCGATTTGCTTTAGCGAAGGTGGTTCAAATATTATAGGTATTAAAAATCATTTTACGATATATTCTAGCCGACTGCGATTGTGGAGCACATGGTGAATGCCTAACAGGAAACGAATGCACCTGCCACGTTGGGTATTTTGACGATGGAGGCGTGTGCAGAGGTAAGATTTATATCATTTCAACTATTTTTTCTCCTTGCAGAACTTAGTCAACAAACGCTGGTGACTTTGGGTCACCTGTAGTGTAATAATTATCACATCTAACTCGCACATACAGGGTTAGGGTCCGAAACCTCCCCGGTGAACAAAATGCAATTTCCACAGTTTTTTATATTACTATTATACCGGCCAGTTACTTGGTTCTATTTACGCTGGGAGCGCTTATGGTTATTTCTGTCAGTTGGACGATATCACATAATTATTAACAAGCGGAAACTGAATTGTGAAATGTTCTCTCTCTTAGTCATGTCCCTTGTTCCCGAGTTATTCCCCTCTCCCAAACCAACTTCTTATGGCCAGCATTTTCTTTCCTTCAGATGTTGACGAGTGTAGAACTACTTGTATGAAAGACACCCAGCAATGTATAAACAGTCAGGGCTCCTACAATTGCAAGTGCAAAGCGGGATATGAAAAGAAGAATGGTGCAGCTGACGACGAGTGCACTAAGGGTAAAAGTTTGTCTTTCGTGGAATTACTCATAACACTTCATCCATGACGCTCAAACCTGTACGTGGTGCTAACTGCACTAAAAAATAAGTTTAAAGAAGCAGCTTATTTTTGACACATTTCCGACATTAACAGAAGACTTCGTTGACTGTTCATGTACGGGTTTGGTACTTTTATGGATTTACTCAAGGAGATGCAAAGCTAACATCCAGTTGTTGAACCTCGTAGACAACACAATGGGAACATACCGCTTAAAATTCCTAACCATGAATCGATGTTCTCTAGGGTTAACCCTTTAAGGTGATGTTACACGGGACGATTCGCAACGACGTTTTTTAGCGCAAGACAGTATTACAACATTGTTCCGAATGGTTGCAACATTGTTCCAACATTACTACACTGTGCTTTGCTCGAAATCGTCGTTTCGAATCGTCTCGTGTCACATCACCCTTACGTCCCGGAAATGACCAACATCAATTTTCTCCTTACGATATCAATGTATTATCAAGAGAAAAGGTTATGGGAATTTATGAACTGATCACTAAAAACAAAATGCTAACATAACTCAAAATTTGGTTACGAGAGTTTATTAAGAAGTTTTTTTACATGCCTGAACTTCCACGTTGTTCGAAAGGACCGGAGTTATTTCATGCGGGAGTCATCAAGAAGTAAGTCGTTACAAACATCGTAACACTTTGTCCAATAGAGTACGTTTTTGTATTGATTTTTCAGTGTGCAAATGCAGAAAACATGAGAAATGTGACAAAAATGGAAATTGCAAATGCAAGAAAGGCTACATCAAGAAACAAGGGGAATGCGTACGGGTTAAAGGTTTGTGTCTCACTTATTACAGTTGAACTTCTACGAACGGCCACCTCTCTACAGGAACCACATTTTTGGCGGACAGTCCATAATTGACACTTTTTTCCACCTCTCTACAACGGCCACCTCTTTACAGCAGCCACTTTCTTCTATTCCCAAGGCCGTTGGGGAGGGGTTCAACTGTAATTGTAATATAACATCAGAGAATACTGTACGCCTTTTAAATTCTCTTTTTTGTTTCCTAAAGGGCTTACATTTCACTTCTTTCTCACACCCTTCCCACAAAAACCATCAAGGATCCTTTCACTTGTCACCTAGTCTTGTTAACATAATTTTTTTTCCTAGCGCCTTCCAAGATCAAGAGTGACGCTTACTCCACCAAGCCTTCAGGTCTCGTGACACTTCTGGCAAGTGTCCTGCTTGGAGGTCTGGCCTTAACTGCATGAATCTGGCGTTTGCTACTACTTTCACTTTTGATGTGTTGTGAACTCCGTTGAAATTTTTTTCACTTGTCAGTTGCCCTTTTTTTGACTTTCCGTATTTGTATAACACACATGTACACAACCTAATAAAATGATTTCAGTCTGAAGTTGTTGTTATTTCCGAAAAGGTAAAGTGCGCTGTAATCCTTTTTTGAAAACTGCTCTGGATTTTCTGTCTCTTTTTTACCCAAAGAACGGTAAACTGTGTAGGCTTTGATGACATTTTTGACCTTGAATTAATCTTATTTTAATGGCATTTAAACAAGTCAAGACTTGAAAACCCAGAAGGAGGTGTCTGTGTAATAGGTAGTTCTGGCCTCTAGCTAACTATCTCGATCTCTGTTTATTGAAAACGTGTCTTATACTAGCTATCAGTAAAACCTTATCAGGATCTAATACAATTGGTGACCTCTATCACAAGCACAAGTGGTTTATTTTATGTCATTGAAATATACTTCAACGAAACCGGGAGCAGTCAGCTGTAATCAAAATGAATACCTGAAATTGTTCATTAGAGACAAATAAAAATTGCATATATGACAGTGAGTGTCGTTTTTATTTACAAGTGCTGCCGGGTATAAAAATATCGAGCAAAACCGTTACTTTGAAACGCATTGCTAAAGGATTTCAACCAACATAGCAAGATTTGCGGACGATACAAACAGGATCAAGAATTTGTGAAAGAAAGGAGCCTGGATCGACTGGACGCCACTCAGCAACCCTGTAACAAAGTAAATACAATTAGAACTGGGAATGTAAGCTCCTGGGACGGAGTGTTGACTGAGCTGGGTTAAGAGGGATAACACAGGGTTAGTGCAAAATTTGGTTTCAGAAGAAATGAAAGCTTATTATAAAAAGCAAATTCAGTTTTTTTGTCTTTATTCAATTTAATGACTGAATGCTGTAAAAAGAATTAAGAAAATTTTTCGAGAAAGTGCTGTTGAACGAAAAAAAAGGAAACCCGAATTAAATTTAACTCTGGGTTAGCGGTAGTCGGCCTTCAAACAACTCACTATTGACATGTTTTTCTTAAGACGAGTACCGCACCGCAAGAATGAGATTTTCCCAACACCAAGTAGTGCGCGAATATAAACCACTGAGGGTTATATATTTTGAAGGAAAACATGATAGCCGTCGTTGTCATGGGTTTTATCATTTTTCAGTCAAGAGAGGGCACTACCTCCTTTAATAAATTAAAAATATCCGTCCTTACTTTTCTGGTGCAAAAAGTACAAGCTTTCCGGGGTGTCTATTTTGTGAGAATACGCGAAAAACCCTTAAGTTAAATCTCTGTTCTCGTAATCGTACTCGTAATTGAATCCACAGGTCTCTACTTTGAACGAGGAGATAACACAAGGGACACAAAAATCGAAGCTTTCACGCCTGATCAGAAGTTAACGAAAGCTCTCACCGTTATCCATAGAGACACATTTTCCAAACTCATCTCTGTCGTAGCCCTCAGCACAGTAACAGTCACCTTCATAACACTCTTCATTCTCTTCGCAATCACATTCGTCTGAGGCTGACAGGTTGAAAAATAGTTGGAGTGAATGGAGAGCAGTTCATATCATAAAAAGATATTTAAACGACGCTCTGCTCTTTGCGCAGAAAAAACATTGGCATTTGGCAATGTTTATTTTTGGTAGCAGCCATCAACTCGTGTCCAGTCAGTTGGTAATGATGCAGTTTTTAAAATGTTCCCATAAACTTTCTTTTTCATCCCCAGTGCCTCTCTTCTTCAATCCAGCGGGGATGAAGTGAAGAGGCCGGGGGCCTGAGGACAAGAATGACAAAAGCAAGAACCCAGTCTCTTGAACTCCAGTTTCTGGAGTGTCAAGAGAAGGCAAAAAGAACATCTTCTTTTTCTAAACTGTGTAAACCTTTCTTTTTTCTAGTAGTGGGTGTCAATTAAAAAAAATCAGGTTTGAGTTAATTAGTTTCAGGTATGAAAATGGGCAGCTAAAGACACTGATTGTTCTGGAAAATAATAGGAAATTTTTTTCTATATTGTGAAATGATATTCAGGGAGCTCATAAGGTCGCAACTGACCTATACATACTCCGTCCCGTCCCTCGGTGAATCCTCGAGGACACTTGTCGCAATAGTATGAACCAACTGTATTTCGACAACGATTTCCACATCTTGCCTTCAAAGTTTTGCACTCATCGATATCTGAGACGTAAAAACACATGTCGTTTCATCCATACAGTTCAGCCCTGCGTGAATTATGGAAAAATGATCCTACACTTCTGTAATGGCAAAAGGCCAAAATGATGAAATGTCGGTGCGGTTAAGTGTCATAGGATGATGAACGGACGGTGGAATGAGTCTGACAGCATAGTGATGATCCAACAAGTGAGATAATATGTCATTAGAATCGCTGTGGCAGGGACCCGGGGGCTTGGTTAGTAATTAGAAATAGTAAATATGTTATTATCCATTGACCTGAGGGCTTTTTAGGGATAATTTACTACACTGGATGGAGGACGTTTGCCAGATTGCTCTTGCTGAAGTTTACGAGTAACCAACAGAAGTGATGAATTATGTACTTCCCCTAATGTGAGTGTAACTGAGATAGACCACCACAATGTACACCAGGGACACATCTCCTGCTCTAATAAAAGTTTGTTGGTTCTATGAAGTCCCACAGAATTACTGCACGTGCAAGGGTCGTGAAAGGGGGCTTAAATTTTATCGTCGTTATCTCAGACGACTTTCAAGCCTACAGGTTTCATTTATTCAGTATCTTACCTTCACATGTTTTACTCTTAGACAGTCTAAAGCCCTTATGGCACCTGCAAATAGGAATTTGAGGCAGAAGTGGATCGGCCAGACATGAAGCTTTTCCTCCACACAATAACAGAGTAGCGTTAGAACATGGCACAGCATCTGTCAAGAAAAAGAGAAAGTTATACGGACGGATAACGTCATATCTTGTACTATTCAGCCTTGCACAGCTATTGCATAGTGGCGAGTGTGTATATTGCGCACACTTGCCAAAAACCTGATCAACCTTACCCTTGCCACCCTTGAACAAAAAAATCCGGTAAACTGGTCTCAAATCTAAGGAAAGAAACAGGAAAACAGCCCTATATTTGAGCGGTGAACGGCACAGCCGCGATGTCGCGTTGTGTGGGTGCCAGTAGAGCAAAAATAGAGACTAGCCGATCGTTATGTTTGAAATGTATCAAACGTTTGTGTCAAATGACTGTAACTGTCGCAACGATCTGAACAAATATAAGGATACCTAGCCTGCGAGTAAGCTGCCCATTTGGGGGAGTCGCGAGGTTCGCAGCACGCGAAAGGAGACGCGATTGCGACGGGCGGCGTGGAAAAAACGGTCGCTCGCGCTTTATTTCGCGGCTCGCTTGGCGCGCCATAATAGGCCATTTGCACTAAGAGGCCATGTGACATTTTTTTATGAAAATGAAAGTTATATGATTAACGGAAGCTTTTTGCTAATCACCCAATATAGAATTTGTTTTAATATCACTAAAGCAAAAAGTTTGGGCGTGGTAAAAGAATTTTACTCATTCAAGCATCGACGTCACGTGACCAAAATGTGATTTTTAAAATTATGAGTTATCTCTTTTTCAACGCAAATTTTGCACTTAATCTTTAAGGAAAATGTTGAAAAGATGATGTGGTAACGTTTACAGCACATTTGAGCGTAACTATCAAACGTTTAACAAGATACAAGCAAAAAGTAGTTTTGGCGGCCATGTTGGAGGGCAAGAGTATGCCCTCCAACATGGCGGCCAATACAAATCATACCACTTTCTTGAAAAATCAAAGTGCCATAAAATATCTCCTTTAAATGCGTTTCCCCTCAAATTTCGGGTGTAAAATAATTTTTATGTGCTCTGTCAATTTTTGGCATCAGCAAGATATCCAACTCATTGTTTAAAGGAAGCATTGGTCACGTGACCTCTTAGTGCAAGTGGCCTATTGGAGACCTTGCTCGTAGGCTACTGGATGCCAGGCTTTACTCACCTCTGCAGAATTTGCCATTGCCTGTTGTACTTCCTTGGCAGATGCAATTCCCGAAGAAACACTTGGCTTTAGGATTGCATTCACTGGCCTGTTTACATTTTTGCAGAGGGGCTGTGTCAAGACAAATGATTCTCCCAGTTATTGTTATTGTTATGTCTGATTTTTCTGTACCAAGTTGAAGTAAGTGCGTAATTGGTAGATATTTCGAAGAGGATTTAAAGAGATTGATCTGAATAAAATTGGAAACCTTTCGTCTTAAACTCGTTCATGCATTAATCAGCATCGGTCAGATTTTTCAAAAATAAGTATATTTTTCATGAAAAAAAAATCAAATTTAAATCTGGCCGATATCCTGCCTGAATGACTCAAAAACCCAGGAAAGGTGACTTAAGGAAGTTGAAATCAAAAAACATTTCACTGGGGTACGTGCATCCCCCGGACCTCTCTAGAAGCTTGCGTCCTCGACGCTCTTTTAGGAAATCGGTCAGTATTTATCCTAGATCCGCGCATGAGTATTCCCCACTTGCTCTTTAAGGAGAATGGGTACAAGCCTTCCGGGATCGTTTGGGTGGACAAGCGTTGCTTATTATTGGTTAATGTTTGCCTTGAATACCATCAACCAATCATGACTAACGCTTGTCCACCTAAACCATATCAGAAGTCACTGCACCCAAAGCACCCATACGCATTTGATCATATTTACATGTATTTTGCGCAATATAAATATTAAATTATTCTTATTATTAAGCTTGAGCCTATTCTCCCTAGAGTGTCTAAAGTGGCGTATTACGAACTAACCCACTGTGGTTAAAGCTCGTGGAGAAAATAAAAAATAAATTCATACGTTCAAGTTTAGCAGTGCTTCAATCAACACAAAGCGACATGTTTTTGAGAAAGAAACGCCTAAGAAATAAATTAAAGAGTAAAGTTAATTCTATATCTTACCTAGCAGGCACTCTTTTCCCTTCTTTATAAGCTCATCTTTGCACTTGCAAGCAAACCAGTCACAATATGCATTGCTAGCACATTCCTCGCTTTTTTGACATTCTAAAGAATAAAACGAAGGAACAGCGGCAATCAACTACGCCACTGAATCGTAGTCGACAGTTACCGGCACCGTACAAACGACTTATTGACGGAATCAAGCAAAACTAACTACGAGAGAACGACTGGACAACTGACAATTTGACCAACAGTAAACGACTGTTTAACTAAGACAATAGATGGATCGAAACGCACCAATCACATTACGAATCTTCATAGCCAATGACATCACGGCTTAACTGACAGACGACCAATAAAATCGCGACTTAATTGAGCAATCAGGTCAATAACGAGACTTTAATACCATCAACTGACGTGATACAACTCACTTTGACTCTAACGATGACTACCGCACCGACGAAACGTCAGTCACCGTTTACCGGGACGATCATACTCAACCTACATATACTTGTGAAATGGCTCCTTGGTTCAACCTTCCACAGTGTTAATTAAGATATATCGTCATAAAGCACCCAGATCACACCGGTATCTGACTTATTAAGCAGGACTCTAGGTTTTGTAAGTAAGATCTGGGGACGAGATTACCAGAGGATGAGAAAGATGGAAGAGGGACCGGGCCCTACCTACACATCCCCTGGGGAAAAGATCCATTATAGGAAACATTGTGAACGTTACTGGTAAAGGGTCACCTAAATCACCAAGAGGCTGCGTAAGTGGTTTCAGTGGTTTGAAGAATGTGTACGGGTTGGTCAAGAAGCCTGTCAGGAAACGATCTAAAACACAAAATTGAGAAATAAATTCATAAATATTCGATTTCAAAATAATAAAGCTTTTTCAAATGAAGTCTAAATGGTATACTTCTGAAACTATCCTTTGAATGCTTTGCCATTCACACACTCTTTAAGTTAGTAACACGGCCGAGTGCGAAAAATTCCCGAGTTACGAATGTAATTATGGTTGTGCGCATGCGTAACGTACTGGCCATGGTTAAACCGCGGAGTTGGTATGTGTGCTTCAGTGCTGATATTGGTAGAGTAACATACCACGACAGTATTCCCCATTGCCAACAGTTCTTCCCTGGCACATACATCTCCCATCTTCGCATTTAGCTTTCGGGTGACAATGATTGTCTTTCTTACACACCGGACGGTGTTCTGCAAGAGATTATTTAAAAATAAAAATTCGAGGACAACAAGAAGCACCGTGTCTCAGAAAAAAAGGATAGCGCCTACGTCCTGTGTTTTGCACGAGGCCTAATGCATAACATTGCGACATAAAGCGTTTTCCTGCAAGGTCTGCAATAGTCAGGAGCCTAGGCTCCTGACCAGGTTTAAAAAATAGTTGCGAATGATTTAGCTATACAAAGGGTATTATCGTTTAGCCTTTGTTTGTACGAGTACTTGACTCATTTTTGCCGGCTTTTTCATGAAATGATTTCCGGCTGAAGACGACTACATCGGAAGACTGCCAACAAGCTATGCGAGCTGATCACTTGCATTAAACGATGTATGACCAAGGTCCAATAAGCAAAGTACTCTTGTCTTCTGGAAATTTTTATGATGATCACATCGTAACTGTGTGCAGCAACTGTTGAAAGCAGTGAGTCGTTTCATGATTCAATGATTTGATGGAAACTTGTGAGTTTCTAAGAATTCACCGACCTACGCAATTGAAGAAAGCGCATCAATCAGAAACCACGTAATACTGAATGGTTAAAATGTATGTGCGCATGCAGTGTATGGATTAAACCAAAAATTATATCACAGAAAAATTACCTCTTAAGAAACGATAAGGGGACTGGTGCCGAAACTAAAAATGTGTCCCGCAATTGTTTCTGGGATAGTTAGTCGGGACACGCCGGTCAGCTATTGGCCAATTTTTTCCCTATCATTAATAACAGCCCAAGGTGTCTTTGCGACAGTTAACTGCGCTTAGTTTCTTTCTCGTTTCTAAAGTGGCGAATGTATCATGAAACAACTTTCTTTGCATTAATCTGCAATAGATGACACGGCGGCAATCTGATGTAGCGGTAAGTGTTTTAAGCTATACATAAACACACACAAAATTGCGTAAATTACTGAATGTAAGGCAGAGTGAACAGGGTGACATTTTGACTTACTATTCTGAATGCAGCGACTATGACTCAAAATGAGTTCATCTTGGCAGTGGCATTTATTCCTTATACACCTTCCATTAATGTTTCCACAGTGACCGTCTGTGAAGCATTCTGTGAAACAGGAGGGAAAATTTAGTTTACCAATGCAAAGTTTTTAAGTTGCGCGTGAAAATGTGTCAGTGTTTTTGTCCAATTGCAATGTGCGACTGTTTCGGACGTGAAGTTTGACCCAGTCTCTTGCGTTCGTAGTCTCGCAATATACAGCGTCCCTAAAACAATATAGTGCAATCCGACACAGTGGAGAACCAACCAGGTCATAAACACCGATGGTCACACGCATAACCCCGGACTGTCCAAAAGCCTTTTCTTTAAGTCGCAATCCCTTGAATCTCAGAAGATCAAATAACTACTAGGCACATATCGAGAATAAACTCCAAGAGTATAGCCAGGCTTTTTGGCAGTGGCTTAATTTCTTGAAATTTATATATCTAGAAATTGATCAAAAGACAGTTTACTAAATTCTTAGAGAAAGGGATGAGAGGAGGTTTAAGCCCCCTATTTTCGAAACAGAAAGAACAAACAAACAATAACAACAACAACAAAGCCTTTGAACACTATTGAACAAGTGAATTGTTGAATAAATTAGACAGTGCTCACCTACGCAATTTCCGTGTTCATCAGTTCCGATTCTACATAAACACCAGTGATGCTGTGGGTGAATGGGATCCATCGCGCAATGATCATTTAAACCGCACCAATTTTTAACGCAAGGCAGCCATTCTGGTTGTAATGGGACAAGAAAAATTTTAAAAGTAGCTTAGTAATGAGCGCAAATTCTACTTGGTTGTACGGATAGGCAGATTTAGAGTTACGTGCCAACTGCGAGTGCATTTTCAGTCTCACTACGCTGCAAAGGAGAACCTGCTGGCTGCCGTCAAGAGAACAAGCTGCCAATCAGAGCCATAGCCTTATTTGGCTTAGCCAGGGGAGACTTAGTGCGCCGACCAAACGGATCGAAGCCTCCAAGAACGAGTTTGCCACCAACTCTGTGGGCTAAAACAATCTCTACCTTAAACAGAAGGCAACTTGAACAAGACCATCACGGACAGGGCATGTTGTCACCTACCCATCGGCTATTTCAAAATCCCTAATTAACTCGCCAAATAGACAATACTTATATCGTACGATATTACAGTGCAGTGTACGTGTTATGTTAAAAAAATGATTATGTATTAATTGCTACTTAAATAGACATTACGTTTTCGGCAGTACTCTCCATTTCCCGCCATATCGGAACAGACACAATGTCCATTCATGCAACTGGCATGAGGATGGCAGTCTTGCTTTGCTTTGCACTTCTTTCGCGGTGCTGTAGGAACAAAACAAGGGGCGCAGGTTAGTAATTATACGACCCAAAATGCTTCATGTCGTCTTGATTTTATGTCAGCCGGAATTGAACTGAGCCTGCAAATCGCTGTCAGAGCACCACGGCTATCGAGCGAAACTTTTCAACCATCATTGTGACTAAGGACTAGTGGGATTTCTTTCACTGCTTACTGGCGTGGCTCAACTTAATTACTTCGTTGCTGCCGCTGACTCTTTCTCTTTATTTATTCTCCTTTTCTCAGACATAATTTGCTGGCATTTATAGCTACTGATAAATGCTAGGTGTCAAATAAAGTTTATGTGCGTATATATCTGATATATCAGTTCAGTGGACTTGTACATGTGTTCCGCTAATGTCTGAATCGGTACAACTGACGCATGCGAACTAGTTTTCTTGTGTACGGACGACTGTGTAAAGCTGCTATATTCCCATAAAAAAGCTATAGTTAAAATAAGTACTCACAGCACCATGGCATGCACCTTCCCACCTTTGTTGCAGGTATTTCCATCACCCTGTAGCTCAGCCCGACAGTGACAAGTTCCATCTGTGCATTCAGCCCATACCTTGCAATCACTGTTACTTTTGCATCCGGTTCGTCCAGGCGCTAGAAATGGGCGTAAAAAGAAAATTCAGGTTAACACAACTAACCACAGGCTCACCATAGCCTAACACTCTTCCTGCAGGAAAGCCCCCAGAAACAATGCTACTCCACCCAGGATGGGTGCCCTGTGAACAGGCTCTACGTTTGGGGGAACAGGGCTAAAAATCGCAAGGACGCGGCAAGAGAAAAATCTAAATGTAGACACGACCGTCACAGTCATGTGGTAATTGTAATTTGAGCAAGTGCAACTTAAGCCAAAAAACAATTTTAGGGCTTCAACATCGCAACTCCCTTAAGTCAGCACCAGCTCAAAAAATACATGAATGCATATGAAACATTCTAAAATGAATGAAACATTATTGTAAATAGGTTTTATTTAACTGGAACTTTGAAAGAAGGCAAGAACGGTAAAAGTTGAAATTTGTGTACGACAAAATGCCAAATATAATCTCAAAGGAAATCCACTGCCTGAAAACAAAACCGTTTCAGAGTCAAGACTTAGCTAATTCCTTCATAAATTCTAATAAATAAAACTGAGTAAACAGCAACTGTAATCTCACCAGGTCGGCATGTGACGCCATTTCCTACGAGACCGTGCCTGCACTGACATCGTTTGGTTTTAGAGTTACAAAAGGCTAATGGCGGACAATACTGATCACCTAAACACGGTCTCTTGCCATCAGGATCCTCTGTTAGTAATAAATTATAAAACTTATTGAGACAGAGTACAGTGGTAGATGAATTCATATCTTTAATTGGCAGGTGATGGTCTCGCCCATCCACTTCCTAAGATAATAGGGGGGCCATAACCTGTAAAATAGGGACCGAGTAAGATCCGCTGACGGCAACGAAAACGTAAAAAATGCAATAGGTTTAAGTTAGCTAAACAATGCTTGAAATTTACAGGTGCGACACGCTTTTTTGCTCATTTCTTATTGTCGTCCCTTCACGACTATACGCTTGAAAATACCCAAATTTCTCGTTTTAGGAAGGACATAAACAAGGGACGACGAAATTTTCTTTCTCTTTCTGAACTTGAATATTGTTCCTACGAATTATACTCCATGACAGTTTTTACGTAGTAAGTTAGTTGGAATAGTAATCGCGATGGAGATTGTAAGAACGCGAATTCACTTTTTAAGCGACGTTTTTTTGCCGCCGTCGCCGTCTTCAGATGTACAGGTGGGGGAACAAGTTGTATTATGGGAAATGCGCGTGCACATTACCTGCTGCTTTTAAACATCCGAGTACACCTGCCCTTCCAAAATGTCCTTCGTTTGTAAACGTCTTTTGTTGAAGCTATCTTTGAAATATCCTGGTATATGTCACACGCAACCATATTTCACCAGGATTAGATGAACAGCGCTTTTCATGATAAGGGGGGCATCGGTAGAAAACTGAAAAACAAAAGAAAAAAAATCAAAATCAGGCCATGATTAAAACGGTGCTCGTGACGAAAGTAACTTATTTGAGACTACATTTACAGATTAGAAAGAAGAGACCCAGATAGAACAATTCAGGAGTGGAACTAAATTTTTGTAGAGGTTTTGTTTTGAGGAAGGGCAATTTTCGTCTTTCACCAACAGCCGTATCTTAAATTGAGATGTAAAATACTGTTTTTCTCTTGCTTGGAATTAATTTTCGCATTCGGGCCGGAATACAAACAATGTTAGACTGTCACATCCAGGTAATGTTGATCCATGACTTGATTACATTTCTGCCGGTACCGGCCACTTCATCTTTAGGGTCGCTTTCTGAGACTCGGATCAAAATTGGAGTACATTTTTGAGGAGGAAATTACTTACAGCCTTCACCAAACACCAGCCTCCCCCACCCAAAAAAAAAAACGGGGGTGGAAAGAAAGAAAAGAAAAAGAGAAAATTCAACTAGCAACAAATTTGAAGTGATAAACTGAATACCAGTATAGCCTGGGAACAGGTTCGTTGTTGGGGAAAAAGCGAAGAATCGCCGAGCGAATCAAGCGAGGGATACCCGAGGGATAAGGAGAGGGGAAAGGCTTCGAAGAATCTCCCCTCATTCTCCTCATTCCCCTTTCATTTTTCCCCGTCATCTCTTTGCGATTTTAAACCCCCTTTCTCTAAGACGGAAAGCCTGTTTAAAGGCTTTTATACCAATAACAAAATACTCACGATAAGAGTCACAAATAAGCCTTCCATCTCCTCGAGCGAGTGGGTTTGTACAGTGGCATTCACCTCGCAGACAGACAGCTTCACCTTTCAAACAGTCATCGTCTGTGATGCACTTGGCGGGGACAGCTAGAACAGAATGTTCTTCCTTAATGGGCTATTTCTGAGTTGGCTCAAGCCTCTGTTTGAAAGCGAGGCTAAGTGTGAAGTCATTGATGTATGTGAACATTTTCATGCAATAGGCCAGTTGCACTATGAGGTCACGTGACCAATGCTTCCTTAAAACGATGAGTTGGAATCTTGCTGATGCCAAAAATTGACAGAGGACATAAAAATTATCTTACACCCGAAATTTGAGAGGAAAACCATTTAAGGGAGATATTTTATGGCACTTTGATTTTTCAACAAAGCAGTATGATTTGTATTGGCCGCCATGTTGGAGGGCATACTCTTGCCCTCCAATATGGCGGCCAAAACTACTTTTTGCTTATATCTTGTTAAACGTTTTATAGTTACGCTCAGATGTGCTGTAAACGTTACCACATCATCTTTTCAACATTTCCCTTGAACTTCAAGTGCAAAATTTGTGTTCTGAAAGATGTAATTCCTAATTTCAAAAACCACATTTTGGTCACGTGACCGGCTACGAACTTACTCATTTTAAGAAAATGGTGCGGGTTGAAAAACCAAATCACTATTCTATTGTTTAAGATATGACCCACTAATCGTTTTTCGAAGGCAAAATCATATAACTTTCATTTTCATAAAAACGATGTCACATGACCTCTTAGTGCAAATGGCCTATTAATTCTCATGCAAATAAAACTCATTTTCACAAGAAAAGTTTTGCACTTAGACTCATATTGAAAGAGTGAGTGTAGTTGGAACTCGGAAATGGCCGATTGCTTTTCAATGGTACTGCAATTCTTCTCCGAAGAAAAAAGAAACAAATGCAAAAAGACACTCTAGCATTAATATCCATAATCGGCTCCTGTCTCTACTTACGCATTTTCCATATTTGAATAGATGATTGCCAGGAACGTTGAACAGTTATGAACAACGCAAGAAGAACTAAACCTTTTTCAGCGATATTTCTCATTCCTCATATTGCAATGAGCAACTGAACATGGCGCGTGCAATTGTAATATATTTGTTACGTCTTTAAAAAATTCTTAATCCCTAAATTAGAGCGGTCACCGGTTTAGTTACGTGCGTGTTCACTTTTGATTGGCAATATTCGCATGCAACTTTTTAGTTTGTTGAATAAAATTTCTTTACTTCCTGATTAGACGGTACTAAAACCACAAGGTAAAGCCAGCATTCATTCCTTAAAGGTGATGTTACACGAGACGATTCGCAACGACGATTTTTAGCGCAACACAGCGTTGCAACATTGTTACAACATTGTTTCGAATGGTTACAACATTGCTCCGACATTGCAGCGCTTTGTTGTGCTTAAAATCGTCGTTGCGAATCGTCCCATGTAACATTCCCTTAAGGATTTTCTTGCGTTAAGTGTTCGACGCAAGGATCGATCGTGAGTTCGTTAGGTTTTACTCTAAGGATACTATTATTTACATACGGTTTAAAAAGTTCAGTTTTGGGAACTGTATATTCTCGGTAAGGACTTCAATTTCGTGATTTTGGAAAGATTTGGCTACGAAATAGGATAAATTCCGCGAGTACATGAATTTTGGCGTATTCCAGTAGATGCATTCTGGCTGGTCACAATAGCCAACGAGTAATCCCAGATCTCTTGTCGACCAAGCTTCGCCTACAAGAGATCTGGGTACGACATTAACCAACGTGGTATCTCTTCACGCACGCTTGTTTTTAGTACAAGAGAACTGCAAATTTAATATCGCACTTAAAGTTAACAAGACTTCACAGATAACACAGATTTACTTAAAAACTTTACCAAGTACCAAAGTAACCATGAATTCTCCTTATTCTTCAAGATAGATTTTATTTCTTTCATGTGAACTTATCTTTGATTTTCTCCGTTCATAATTGGTTATGAGCACGACTCAATCACCTGATTTGGTATTTTTACGTACAATAATTACGGTACACTGTCTTACAAATAAGAACACTCCATAATAGCGGAGCACCATGGGTAAGAAAATTTCCTAGAAATTTTGGTAGTCACGTGATTTACGTCCGTCCCTCCGCACCACAGGGAAACCAATGTGGAATGACCTTATTTACCTTTTGTGCGGAAACTGCAATCTGTCGAGTCTTTTTTTTCCAACTACATTTTAATGTCTAAGCTGACGTGGATAACAGAGAAATGGCTAGACCGAGAGATAAAAAGCAAAGGAGACTGAAAATTTCGTTAGCAACACAACATGTAAAGCGGTCGCGAGAAAATGAGAAATATTAGCGGCCAAAAGGGTGAAAATGAGCGGTAGTGAAAGAGAAAGCGAAAGGAACACAAGCAACAAAATTTTTTTTTGAGCACATACGACATTCCCTCCTTAAAAAGTGTAACTAGAAAGTTTCCCGCTGCAGTCGTGCAAAACAACGTCAAAAAAATTCACAAAAAAGTGTGCGGCAAGTGCAAAATTGTTGGTTTTTCCGCTAATTCAACCCTTTGTTGTTCTTTTTTTGCCATTCTCGTTGCCCTAGTCGCTTAGCGTTACACGATTTTAGCCCTGGCTAAATCTGTATATTACATGTCACTATAAGATAAGTGTCATTCTTGCACTGATTCTTCTCTCTTGATTCTTGGATCGATTGCAATTTTCATTGAATTTAATATCATCGATTTAATCTGTTGGAATTACGTTCCACTCAAATTCTGTCGCAGGTTTGATTAGCTGCTAATATCATAAGATTCCCTGTCATCTATAAACTTTCCTTTATTTTGTTATTACTGCACAAATTAGACCACTGCTAGCGCGCTGTCAGTCGTTGGATTTTGAATATGATTACGGAGCAAATATAACGTCATATTAAAAAAATAATAATAAGATAGTTTCCTTAAACTTCAACAAACAAGAAGACATTGCTGAAACAACTCGTGCGTCACGGTATTGATAGTTAAACGAAGGATACTTTTTCCGTCTAATGAAATTAAACAGCTAATTGTTCACTTTATTGTTTTAATAATAAACAATATACTATTCTTAGCCGAAACTGAACAGAGGTTTACGTTTTTCTAATATCATGATGCCCACTTCACAGAAAACCCGCCTTTTAGCACGTCACAGAAAATTGCTTCCTTGGTAATAACACAGAGAATTTAATATGGTGTTTTTTTTAAAGTCCAATTGACAAATATTTCCTGCGAAAAAGTAATATTTCACTGACACTACCCACTTTGTTTGTATAATTGGAAATAAATAGACCCCTGTTTGCAGTGTTAAAATTAATTATTGCGAAAGTTAAATAGTCTGAAATAGTTAATTTGCCCACACTAAAAGTCTGATTTATACAAAATGCATCTCACGTTTCGAACATCTGCTTTTGAAGCGAAACTGTTTTTGAATACAATTTGGAAACTCCAAAAAAGGCAGCAGGATTAATTCCTGCTGTTAATCTATACCGGTCCATAATTTTGGTTATCGCACGTCAGTTCCGCATCGTGGGTACTTATCAACACATCTTACTTGGAAATATTGGTTTCAGGGTGATAAGCGTGTTATTGAAAGTCTAGCTAGCTCGCAAACATGGAGGCAAGCAAACGTTTTCCGACGAATAAAACCATGGCTGCGACAAATGAAAAAATGACAAACGAGACTCGCAACTTCAGGAAAGTTGCTCGTCAAGTCATGTTGGCAAACATGTTTACGAGAAGGAAACTAAACGTACAATCGCAAACGTTTGCCAAAAAGGCAGCTGGCCGCGGGGAGCGGTTAGCTGCGGTGAAAACACAGCGAAAGCACGATGGACCCATACATGAACTGAAACCGCCGCTTAAAAGACGAGGAACTCCTGAACTGTTTCCGATGTCGGATGAAATGAAACAAACCGTGATTTCACTAGGAAAAATGGATCTCCTACCAAGTAAAGAAAGGCAAAAAAGCCCGGAAGAAGCGTTGATGGAAAAATCCCGAAAGGCCAGTAAATTTCGCGATAAAACTCGGCGAAGGATCGTTCATCCGCAAAGGTTTATTCGTAACATTCGATCTTCTATCAATAATTCAGAAAAAAATATTGAAAACGGCGTTCATCGCGAGGAAATAATTAACGAAGAGGACATTAATGACTACGAAGACAGCCAGGAGAACAAAAAGCGAGAGAATTGTAATGATAAAGTCAGGAGTGATGTCTTACCAAGAACAAAATTAGTCTACAACGATCTATCACGTCCACTATCTACCGAATCTCACCCAAACGCAAAACTGTCCGCGAAAAGTCAATATTTTCCTTCAGTTAGGCGTACATTGTGCTTGTCTGGCTACAGTGATCTAGGACCCAGATTATCAACAAGAGCGGTGAGACGAACTAGAAGTCAAGGAACATGGCCAATTAACAATGCTTTTCCCGACTTAAGAGTTTCTTTTAATGGGCAACACCATTTTCCCACGACAAGGCAAAATAAGAACAATGCTTGGATAACAGGCAGCGCTATTTCGAGATCTACAGATGAAAGTGTTAAAAACGAACCCNATTGTTTTAATAATAAACAATATACTATTCTTAGCCGAAACTGAACAGAGGTTTACGTTTTTCTAATATCATGATGCCCACTTCACAGAAAACCCGCCTTTTAGCACGTCACAGAAAATTGCTTCCTTGGTAATAACACAGAGAATTTAATATGGTGTTTTTTTTAAAGTCCAATTGACAAATATTTCCTGCGAAAAAGTAATATTTCACTGACACTACCCACTTTGTTTGTATAATTGGAAATAAATAGACCCCTGTTTGCAGTGTTAAAATTAATTATTGCGAAAGTTAAATAGTCTGAAATAGTTAATTTGCCCACACTAAAAGTCTGATTTATACAAAATGCATCTCACGTTTCGAACATCTGCTTTTGAAGCGAAACTGTTTTTGAATACAATTTGGAAACTCCAAAAAAGGCAGCAGGATTAATTCCTGCTGTTAATCTATACCGGTCCATAATTTTGGTTATCGCACGTCAGTTCCGCATCGTGGGTACTTATCAACACATCTTACTTGGAAATATTGGTTTCAGGGTGATAAGCGTGTTATTGAAAGTCTAGCTAGCTCGCAAACATGGAGGCAAGCAAACGTTTTCCGACGAATAAAACCATGGCTGCGACAAATGAAAAAATGACAAACGAGACTCGCAACTTCAGGAAAGTTGCTCGTCAAGTCATGTTGGCAAACATGTTTACGAGAAGGAAACTAAACGTACAATCGCAAACGTTTGCCAAAAAGGCAGCTGGCCGCGGGGAGCGGTTAGCTGCGGTGAAAACACAGCGAAAGCACGATGGACCCATACATGAACTGAAACCGCCGCTTAAAAGACGAGGAACTCCTGAACTGTTTCCGATGTCGGATGAAATGAAACAAACCGTGATTTCACTAGGAAAAATGGATCTCCTACCAAGTAAAGAAAGGCAAAAAAGCCCGGAAGAAGCGTTGATGGAAAAATCCCGAAAGGCCAGTAAATTTCGCGATAAAACTCGGCGAAGGATCGTTCATCCGCAAAGGTTTATTCGTAACATTCGATCTTCTATCAATAATTCAGAAAAAAATATTGAAAACGGCGTTCATCGCGAGGAAATAATTAACGAAGAGGACATTAATGACTACGAAGACAGCCAGGAGAACAAAAAGCGAGAGAATTGTAATGATAAAGTCAGGAGTGATGTCTTACCAAGAACAAAATTAGTCTACAACGATCTATCACGTCCACTATCTACCGAATCTCACCCAAACGCAAAACTGTCCGCGAAAAGTCAATATTTTCCTTCAGTTAGGCGTACATTGTGCTTGTCTGGCTACAGTGATCTAGGACCCAGATTATCAACAAGAGCGGTGAGACGAACTAGAAGTCAAGGAACATGGCCAATTAACAATGCTTTTCCCGACTTAAGAGTTTCTTTTAATGGGCAACACCATTTTCCCACGACAAGGCAAAATAAGAACAATGCTTGGATAACAGGCAGCGCTATTTCGAGATCTACAGATGAAAGTGTTAAAAACGAACCCCAAATAGTCAATACCAGGCGCTGGAAAAGCGTCGAAAATTTAACAAGAGAAATTGAAGAAAAATGTTTATCTTGGCTCGAGACTCGGTACGGTATGAATCAGTGACGATGGCAGTTAAACGAAATATTATAAAAATAGATTTAAACAAGCAACCGTTTTTTAACGTTATAATAACTGCAAATTATAGATCTACCAAGTCCTTGCGGCTGCAAAAAAAATTTGTTATTGTAAAAAAATGCAAATTTACTACGGGCTGCTACCATATCTTGCCATAATACAATTATACCACCTTCTCCACAATCATGAATTACTCCTAATAAAAGTTGGGAACATTTCTATTTTTCTCTCAGTGCCTTTTTAAATGAGTTTAACTTATAATTGTTTTTCTTGTGCTAAGAAATGGACATTAAACTGTACGAAAGTCAACTACGACAGGCTTCGTGCAGAGACAGGTAAAAAAACTTCATTTTTCATGAGGGTTTTTTTTTTTAATTATTAGCAGCTGCTAGACTGTACTAATGTATGCGAGGTTTTCGAAAAGCTGTTTTTAATTTGAAGAATACTTCGTTAAAAACGCGACCGAGCAAACAAAATTTAATGTTTAGGAGTATTTGTAGAGTCGGTCCTTGTACAATTGTCACTTTTTAAGACTTGAGAATGGAAAAACAAATTCAGCGTGATCGTAAAGTTTGTTCTTTTAAATTGAGTCTGGCATCAAACAGAAAAACTTTCCCTGCACGTCACATACTTTCATCTGATAATTTATTATTGAACCAAACGGAACAACAAAACGCTTATACAACGATGGGATGTCTCGTTAGCACATTTTTCGAACTGAACGTTTAGTCATATTTAATAGGGTACTCGGCGACTCGTTGGATTAAATCATATTTCATTTTCCCATAACATTACTGTTCAAAACCGCAACTTAATGGACTGGACGTCAAAAGATTTATAATTTTGTCAAATCATGCTAAGTGATACCCTGTATTCATACGCAAATCATTCAAACATAGTACGTACGTAAAAGTTAAGGTCCGTGTAAGTCTCACGTTTTTTTGTTTACTTTGTAACCTTTGTAACCCAAAACGGTATTCCTTTATTCATGCACTTTTCTTCTGTAACAAAACATTAACTTTGACTTCTTAACAATCATTTTCTCCAAAAAAAACCCACTACTTTGGAGAAAGGAATGAAACGGTGTTGCCATGTTAACGATTTTAAACAGCTGGCATTTGCCTGTTTTTTATTTACGTTCAATTGCAAAATGGCCTCATACTGTTAAAGCACATATTGGTGGCAGCAAAATTAATATTTTTTAAATAAATTTAAGAACGGTTTCTCTTGTTCCCAGTTGGTTGTCGGTAACCCAAATGCGGCTACCCGTGGACAAAAGCGAAAACAAAAACAAAAATATTGGAATTATAAAAAAGTCATTGATTTGGAGCTAAGTAAAAAGAGAAGAGAGCAAAAAGCGCGTGAAACGTCTTAAGATTGTCCTCAGAATTTCTCTCGCAGCTCTTGGTCACGTGATGGAATTCGTATCATTTTCGTTTCAAGCATGCGCACAATTAACTAATATTGAAATGCACTGATTTACCTTTCTTTCGTTCCTGCTTGTTTTTCGTTGTTTTTTCATTTACTAGGCGTCATGTTCCATTTAATAAACGTTCATGAAAAAAGGTAATTTAAGGACACAAAATTCTTGTTTAATTTCTTTAACTGAGGGCAGAAGAACTTCTCAAGTTGACAAATTGTACATAGGCGATATTCAAGTTTATTTTTTCCCAAAATTAAAAATTACAAAATTACAATTTACAGCCTACCATTAATTATTATTACATGAAAAAAATGATCTTACCCTGGAGCTTCCAGATCAACAAGAGAAAGAGAAATAAAAACTTAAAAAGTTAACAAAAGCATCTGAACTTTCTGCAAAGGCCGTGGAAATTTCTTTAGGCCTTTTATCAATATCATGAAAAATTCTAAATATCTTCGCCTTAGATTTCTTTACAGTGTTTAGCTTAATCTTGAACAAGTTTTAAACTTTTAGGGATCACTTTAAAATGCTGTCATATTGATCTCATGTTACCATCGAAGGAGACTCTGCTCGCAGGGTACATGTACTACTGGTCCATATAATTTCAGCGCGTCAAACAAATCATTTGCGATCTCCTACAATGTATCAATTATTTTCACAGTTATTCGTGACCTGGCTAACGCTAGAAAAAAGGAATACTGTGGGAAATAAACTACGTAGCGTTGCTCTCAGTCTGCCACATCTCACCAGGAAAATACATTGAACATCCCATGGTAAACTGCTTACCGTCCGCATTTTCTCTTAAAATCCGGGGACCAGTTCTTTTCTCAGCCAGCGCGAATGCAAACAACGACGTTACAATAAACTCGTTGGCGCGGCTTCGCCGCTCGCTTGCATGGGTTACGTGTGGAGTAACTTTGTAAAGAAAAAAAGGAGCCTGCTCGTAGTCTAATTCCAAGGAGAAAAATAACTTTTCAGGGATTATATGTAATTCGAGGAGCTTTCAGTCTCCTTGAAAATCCAGTGTAATGTTTGTAACCTTTTAAACTTTGTTGCTTTCTTAAATTCGAACAAAATTCGGTTCTGAGTGTTCTAAAATCAAACAAAGAGACTGCCCATCCACTTGATTCACGCCGCGAGATGATTGTCAACTCTGTGTCTGAATTCCAGTCCAGGAAAAATTGCAACTTCTGCTCATACCGAATTCGAGTCAAGGAAGGCATTGCAAAGAAACAAAAGTGCCCACTGCAAGATATCGTCTTCCACCCTACATTCTGCACTGTTCAGTACTGCAGTTAGAGCAGAGGTTGAGTTATCCCTGTAACAAATTACTGTTCATCCTTGGAATCGTGTGGCTCACTTGCTTCATCAATGTCGTCAGGTTTAAGCTTCTTTCTTTTGCGAATGTCATTTAAAGTCTCTTCTATTGATCGAAGATCTCTTTTGTTTTCACTGGGAACTGGAAAAATGAAGAAATAAAAAAATTAAAGGGAAAGAATATTAGCAAAAACCCAGCTTTGTAGTTACGCTTCTATCACGTATGGTTATTGAGCACAGAAATGCCTGTATAGCAGTTATTTACGAACACAAAATGACTGGACAAACGATGACTTACAGTAAACGGCTGTTATAACTGTGATGGATTGAAATGCACAGGTAACTAACTGTCAACAACAGTCCTAATCAGGTGTGCATTCACCCGAAGGATCATACTGTGTTTACCCGAAGAAGGGAGGCTTATTAAATTTGTATGCCTCAAATGCAACGTTTATTTGAGGGAGGCATTTATTTGAAAGTTGGACGTGACTTTGAAGATTATATCAGGGCCGCAGTGCTTACTCGGGGGTGGCGCTTTTTATCCTTTTGGTCCCCAAATGTGGCACTTATTTGAGGGCAGCACGTAATTGGAGGCGGCGCTCATTCGAATGAATACGGCATTCTACCTATTCAAAAAAAAAAACAGTGGTTAATATCTTTGGATGTGGACTCACCGTAGCCATAAGCAGAGTTACTTTTGGTAGCTCTTGCAGCATCTTTTCCACTGTCAACTCCTAATAAGTGTTTATACTTGTCTTTGTAATATGTGGCAGGTGGTTGAGAATGAGATACTCTTGAAGTCTTTTGTGCTTTGCTAACAGTGCTGGCATTATCATCTATACTCTGCAAGAAATTATACTGTTATTCAGAAAGCATATACTACTTTGGTTCCCACAAGAAGTAGCCTCCTACACAGACATTCGTTGGCTCATCACGCAATCCTTCCTCTTGGGGAAGGAATGTGTGAGAAACCCCTAAGAATGTCGGTGTGGGAGGCTCGCCACAAAGGCAACCTGATCCCAGTTAGTGACATTTTGAAATTAACTATCTCCAACTCAATTTAGAGCAAAGCCAATTGTCTACAATAATTTGTTAGAGTCACTCACTGCAGCATATGATATTAGCAAAGGCTTAAGAAATTCAAGTTTTTTAAGGAGGATGTCTCCCCTGTTGTGCGATTTCTGAATAGAGTTGAACTTCAATGTGGTTTCACCTCTCGTGAGTAACTATTCTAGGTCTAGGGATCTGAAGGCATCAACATTTATGAAAAACTATTACGTGGCCTTCCTTACCTTAGCTTGCTCCTTAGATTTGCTTACATTTTCAGGATCAAACTCCTGGATAAAATAAACAGCAAAATGTTATTTTAATGCCAGAATACAATCATGAAAGTAAAAAAAGGTTCCTCAGAGTTTTAAAAGATTTTAAGTTTACCATCATCGTGCATGCTTAATGTGATTCTACTTTAAAAGTTGACCTGCACTTCTTTATTGCGCGTAATTTTTTACGTGACGATTAGTGTATGCATTGTAGGTTAAAATGAAACAATGTCAGGTTAAAATGGTTTCAACTTAGTCTTCTTTGTCTCACATCCTCAATTATTCTTGATCAAGAATATATATTAGGATTAGAAAACAATGGAAAGTGAGAATCTGAAAAAACCTACAGCATATTATACACTGTCAGTTTGTTGTGAGGCTCATGGAATTACTTGTCATACTACATGTATTTACTAAATCCCAAATGCTTTAACTGATCCACAAACTAGAGGTTTGTCAACAAACCTCTCCATTTCTGTAAGCATCAAGTTCTTCATCTGAAGGGGGAAATTCCTTAAAAACAAAAGGAAACAATGAGCAGTGTAGTGAAAGGTAAAATAATGTTCTCTTAAGTTTAAAATTTGTCCTGAAGAAATGACCCTCTTGGATAGTGTGGGTGTGTCTACAGTGTATTCCCATAAATTATACATCTCTCATAATGCACCTTATGAAATCAGCGCAAAATCAATCGATTTCTAGAGAAATTTGCCCAGAAAATTCCCATGAAATTGGCCTTTTTCTACCGATTGTTTTTCGGCGAAGTTAGCCTCGAACATTTCCCATGAAAGTCCCTTAAAATCAACCGATTTTTCTGCGAATCTGTCTCTGAAAATCCTGTGACATTTGACCTCTTTTCCTGGCGACCTAACAGAAGCCTTGTCTATTAGGTTGGGTTGAAAATGCAACAGAAAATTGAATTAGATAGCCAGGAACCAAGAAGACAGCTTCGAGCCAGTTTGAAATCTTCACCCTAGCTAATGAGACTACACCTGAGGCTACTTGTTTTGCATCTTTACACAGATAAATGGTTTTCACCTTTTTAAACAGCATAACATATCTATCAACTTCCTCTTCCCCAAAAGAAAAAGTTGTGAGACCAGCAATCTCTGCAACGTCATGACTGCAAGTAACACAAGAAAAATATTAACCATACATTATATTCTTAAGGTCAATAACTAAAGGAAATAATAACCTTACTTTAGACCTGAAGTGTCCAGACTTTTAAACAACAAAATGAGAACATGGCAACAAACAGTTGTCATGAAAGTTAACATGATCTTTGCAGTAGAATGAACAACCTCAGCGAATTAAAAAGAGCCTGAAAAAGTTCAAGCTTCCGCTTGACTGGGCAACGAACCCTAACCTTTGCGATGGCCAGATGCAACAAGATACCCTATACAATATTCTCCCTAGTTATCTGAATGTTAAGCCCAAGGCAACTCTCGGTGAACAGGCCTTTCTGTTTGCCACACCTAAGTTATGGAATGTTCTGCCAGGATATATCAGGGAATCTATTTCTACTGACACTTTTAAGAGAAAGTTGAAGACTCACCTTTTTAAAAAAACATTTTGTACCACTTAGATTATAAGATTGTATTTTTAGCTTATAATTTTTAAGATTATGCTAACAGATTTTATCTTTTTAACTTTTAGCCATTAGCTTTTCTATTCTATATATATATTATCATCTTATTTTTTCATTATTATTATTATTATTATTATTATTATTATTATTGTTTTTTCCCTATGGCGCATTTGAATATATTTATATAGATATTTGCACCTGATAAGTTTTGAAATTAAATTAAATTATCTATTGAGCTAACCAAGACAACTGGAGAAAGGCCATTGATAAGTGAGTCTGGTCATTGCAAAGGCCAGGGTTCATTGCCCGATCAAACCTGAATTTTTCAGGTTCTTTTTCAACTGTCTAGGTTGATCATTCAACTGCGAGGATCACATTCACTTTCATATCTTTGTCCGCAGTTCAAAACATGATTCATTTCATTAATTTCAAAACAGTTGTCAATAAAGATAAATTGGTCGCCTAAACTAAAACAATAACAACTTCATGAAGTGAGAAGAAAAACAGAGAGTAAATTAAATAATGGAGAATACCACTCCAGCCTTATTCTCTGAAAGAAGTGTGATAATTGGCAAATACATACACAATACTTCTTTGGATTCTTGTCATTGGCGGGTACTTCACTCTTGTTTGTTTTGTATCCTTGATGAATTCAGTCACTTCTTTCTCAGTCTAAGGAAAATGCAGTCAAAGAATTTATTCTTTTTGTAATTCTGCACTCCATTATGATGAGCAAATTATTTGCCAGACCATGGTAACATACACGCCAACTCTCCTGGATACAGCACTGATCTCCCGCTCTCCCGTACTGGTCACCATATCTCCCGATTAGAATCATCTTCTGAGCTTTTCTGTGGCAGCCTTAGTTTGAGATTTAGCCCATTTTTAGCTCAAAACTTAAATTTTTCTTATTGGCAGTACAGTTTCTGGGATATTTTTGCATGTATTTAGTCCCTGACAAAGATTATTTNTGGTTTTCACCTTTTTAAACAGCATAACATATCTATCAACTTCCTCTTCCCCAAAAGAAAAAGTTGTGAGACCAGCAATCTCTGCAACGTCATGACTGCAAGTAACACAAGAAAAATATTAACCATACATTATATTCTTAAGGTCAATAACTAAAGGAAATAATAACCTTACTTTAGACCTGAAGTGTCCAGACTTTTAAACAACAAAATGAGAACATGGCAACAAACAGTTGTCATGAAAGTTAACATGATCTTTGCAGTAGAATGAACAACCTCAGCGAATTAAAAAGAGCCTGAAAAAGTTCAAGCTTCCGCTTGACTGGGCAACGAACCCTAACCTTTGCGATGGCCAGATGCAACAAGATACCCTATACAATATTCTCCCTAGTTATCTGAATGTTAAGCCCAAGGCAACTCTCGGTGAACAGGCCTTTCTGTTTGCCACACCTAAGTTATGGAATGTTCTGCCAGGATATATCAGGGAATCTATTTCTACTGACACTTTTAAGAGAAAGTTGAAGACTCACCTTTTTAAAAAAACATTTTGTACCACTTAGATTATAAGATTGTATTTTTAGCTTATAATTTTTAAGATTATGCTAACAGATTTTATCTTTTTAACTTTTAGCCATTAGCTTTTCTATTCTATATATATATTATCATCTTATTTTTTCATTATTATTATTATTATTATTATTATTATTATTATTGTTTTTTCCCTATGGCGCATTTGAATATATTTATATAGATATTTGCACCTGATAAGTTTTGAAATTAAATTAAATTATCTATTGAGCTAACCAAGACAACTGGAGAAAGGCCATTGATAAGTGAGTCTGGTCATTGCAAAGGCCAGGGTTCATTGCCCGATCAAACCTGAATTTTTCAGGTTCTTTTTCAACTGTCTAGGTTGATCATTCAACTGCGAGGATCACATTCACTTTCATATCTTTGTCCGCAGTTCAAAACATGATTCATTTCATTAATTTCAAAACAGTTGTCAATAAAGATAAATTGGTCGCCTAAACTAAAACAATAACAACTTCATGAAGTGAGAAGAAAAACAGAGAGTAAATTAAATAATGGAGAATACCACTCCAGCCTTATTCTCTGAAAGAAGTGTGATAATTGGCAAATACATACACAATACTTCTTTGGATTCTTGTCATTGGCGGGTACTTCACTCTTGTTTGTTTTGTATCCTTGATGAATTCAGTCACTTCTTTCTCAGTCTAAGGAAAATGCAGTCAAAGAATTTATTCTTTTTGTAATTCTGCACTCCATTATGATGAGCAAATTATTTGCCAGACCATGGTAACATACACGCCAACTCTCCTGGATACAGCACTGATCTCCCGCTCTCCCGTACTGGTCACCATATCTCCCGATTAGAATCATCTTCTGAGCTTTTCTGTGGCAGCCTTAGTTTGAGATTTAGCCCATTTTTAGCTCAAAACTTAAATTTTTCTTATTGGCAGTACAGTTTCTGGGATATTTTTGCATGTATTTAGTCCCTGACAAAGATTATTTCTGGCATCAAAACTATGCTTGCAAATTTTGATTTATGTACTTCATGTAAGACTTCATATAATGGCCTAAGTCATTCCCATTGACATTGGGGGCTGAGTCAATTTGTCAGGGGGGCGAGGTCTGTTGAAATTTCGGGGGGGGGGGAAGTAGTGAAAAAAAGAGAGTCTCCAGATTTTAGATCTCCAGCGGTTGGCATCTCTGTGGTAAAACCTGATTGGTTAATAAGCCTTTTCCCCTGAGACATGCATATTATTGCATCACTAAAATGGAGGTTGGGTGCCAGGAGTATCCAGGGGCTTCCACTATTGGCAGCCAGTCTCTAGAGTGAAATAATGCCCCCATAACTGGCACAACAGCGACCCAGCCATGAGCCCCAACACCAAAGGAAAGGAACATGCACCCGTCACACTGAAAACATCAGTGGAGAAAAACCACCAAAGCCTAGGGGGAGGGGGGAGGGAAAGAAAATGGCTGACAGAACCTAGCACGAAGGAAAACTGAATGCGCCAAAGAATCACATGATCAATGTAACCAGCTACTGGGCATGCCCATGCCAAAGACAGCTGACCTCAGGGACTTAAGGTGCTCTTAGTTGTTACCTCCTTTAAATTGCATTTAAATACATTTTTGGCATGCTATACAATCCATTTTTGGATTTTTGCTTTCTCTCTTCAAAAAAAATCCAAAGAATCCAAAGAATCCAATCTTGGATTGTCCAGAGGAAATAAAATGCACCCCGAGTCTAGATCTCAAATTTACCATTCAGAAAAACCACCAAGAGCTAGATCGAGGCTCTATACAAGCTTACCTTTGCACGAAAAGCAGCATTTTTCTTTTTTTCTTCCATTTGGAGTTTCTTGAGTTTGGCTTTTTCCTCTACATGCGGAACAAGACACAAATTAATCAACCACAAAATTCACATACTCATTACTTGAATAATGTGTAATAAGCATACGTTTAGTCGATAGTTAACATTGCTATCAGGTCGACTGATGTGAGTTAGTTGAGAAATCTATAATAATATTGGGCTTAACTGCAGAATAACTTGCCACTTTAAAGCAACCCCTAAAAATAGGTGGATACGCGGAAACTCGGTCACTACGTATCCGCATATACGCGTATCCACTTCAATATACACTTAAGACAGGATAAAAAGCATACAGTATGTCTGTTTGTCGTTCTTAAAGCCACAGAGGGTAGAAAAGCGCATAAAGTGATAACTGCGTATCCACGTATCCAGCTCTTTCAGGGATACAGCTTCGAAGTGGCAGGGTATTCTGCAGTTTACCTAGATCGAAATAACTTTAATACAACTTTTGGACGTCCGCTTGATATACCTTAACTAAGTCTTATATTGTATTTTACAACGATTTGGAATCAAAAGTATCTCGTTACGACCTAGACAATAAGCTTAAATAAAACATTAATCGGCTATGGAATAAAAATAAGCTTACCTTTTGCCTTTTTGTCAACCTCGGTTGTCGGAGGTGCGTCCATACTCTTCAGAATTGAGCCCAGAAGATCCATCATTAAACATAAAAATAGACTGCAAACAGATTTTGCGATAAGATCTGACGAACTCTCAATGTGTTTATGAAGGAAGTGTATTATTGCACACAACGCCGCCTTTCTGGAAACTCAGCCGCCATATTGTTTTTGTACCCAGGTTTCCATACGAAGAGAGCTCTCGGGTAGGGTGGGACGAGGGGCGGGGGTACGAGGAAGACGGACGATTTCCCCTTCACCTCGGCTTATCCTCAAAATGAGCTTATTGTACAAAGACAGGAACCCATCAAATTTGATGGGCTCCTGACAAAGACACAGAATACCACCAACAAGGGCCGGGTGATACTAACTGGGGACTGGAAATGATGGGGTCTTGAAGAAAAAACCTTCCGTCTGCAGAACAGTAGCGTCATAAACTGGCAATACATTTAACACATATTTTTAATACTGAGTATGTTTTTGCTGATCAGGTCTTCTTTAGATCCTACATTTCCTACGTTCTGCGGTATATTCGTTTGCGGCCTTTTTTTAATAAATCAGTAATAAAACTGTTTTTGAAGTTCTGGTTTTTAAGTTTCACTTTCAACTTCTTAGACGATTTTAAAAAAAGTTCTCAACCTCGTCCCCAGGGCGCTTTTCCCTGGCCTTTTTTCCCTGGGGACGAGGTTGAAAAGTTCTCTATATTATGTGAATTCTGCCCACCTAACTGAATTTCGGCCTGTGATACCGAGTCTTATTTCATGGTCTGTTAACATAATCCTTTTTTATGTCAAAATTGTTGCATAATAAAGTAGCTATTGTTCCAAGTTTACGCTGGAAAACCGCAAGGTTTCAAAGTTCTGAATAGCGTGGTCTTTATATATTTCTCAGTGACTGCCATGCTTTCAATTAATTCTTTTGAAGAAGAGCTTCGAGAAGAGTATGGAAAAATATTTAGTAACATCGCTGAGATAAAAGCCGCAAAGAAACGGCGTTTAAGCTACGAACATCCACTTTCAGTAAGGCAATCTTTCACAGAGAAAGAAAAACTATACGAGGCTAGAAGGGAGCAAGAACTCTCAGGCAAACAAGAAGTGATCCCTGAAGCGATTAAAAGCTACAGGAAGATTCAAGTGAGTGAACGATATCATGAAACACCTGTCATCCAGAGGACTGAGGGACGGAAAACATCAAAAGTTCGGGACAGAGAAGTTCGACGATCGAGCAGGCATCTTCCGTATGATAAAGTGGCCATGGACTTGGAAGCTTTCTTTAATAAGCATATGGTGATAGACTCAGGTAGTTCTCATATAAGTGCTGCTTTTGAGACGGAGAAAGAGTTAGAAAATATTAAAAGTGGTCGTAATGAAGCCCAGCATACACAGATTCGTTACAAAACAGTCCATACGAGAAAAGATACACTTTACATTTGGATTGCTTCTGTGTGAATTGAACTCCGAATTCTGGGAGGCAGCAAATGTATTTTTTTCTCATTTATGATATGTGGTGTACAGAAACTGCAAAGCAAATGACTTAAAGGTAATCCCGGCCATTTCCTTTTAACGAAGCTATGATCAAACGATGTTGCCACTTCACTTCTATCATTTCTTGAACAGAATGACAACTATGCCAATGTTTCAGATCAGAAGACTTCGAGTCAGTGTTTGTCAACAATTTTCATACAGGTAGAGCTTATCTTGTCATTTGAATGGTTAAAAGGTCATTTAACATTCTCAGTCTTTTATATTACTCGGAAAGCTGAAAAAAAAAATGCACAGACAAACAAAGGGAAAATGACGCTAGACTGAGGCCGTATTAACCGGAACTGCAACTTCGCTCAACGACAGATCAGATCATTTCAAAATTAATGGGGGACATTTGCTCGCTCAGCCGTAGTTACAACATGGCTCGACATTTAACTTGCTGCCAATCCATCAATTGAAACACGCATCATACTCTTTAGATTATATGTTATGTCAAAGGGCTGTTTCATTTAGAAAAAAAAATGATAAAGAAAGGCCTAGGGCATACTTGCATTGTAAACAGTGAAGGAGACATGGACGGGTACCGGAAATACTAACTGTCCTTTATTATCCAGGCACAAGTTCCAGCCTGTCGCATTTTCACTTTTCTAAAAAAACGAGCTGAATTCGGGGCATAGTTAGTTTGTTTTCATGTTTGTTATCTTTGTAGCAAAATTAATTTTTTGTCTCGCCTAATCAGAATTTAATAAAAATTTCTGTTAATCAAGCGGCACAGCAGTGAATGAAAATTTAATTTACTCCTTTTGTGTGGGAAACAATTGCTTGACAGTGATAAGTGAGAAAATGTCTTTTTCGCCCATAATGCCTATTGTTTACAATTAAAAAAACCCTCAGTTGTAATTAAATCTGCTGAGAGGGTGCAGTGAGGAATGAACATTACCGATCAACTCATATTGTTTTGAAGCACATTACTACAATAACCTAGTGTTAAAAGTCGCTTGATTTAATGAGTTACAATTTTCGAGTTAGTGTGAAGTCTTTTATTAATGTTGCTTAAGCACCAAACATAACTTGGTCTGCTGTATTTCTTAAAGGGGTTAAAAACTTTTGAACCCGAGGAAGACATCAATCGTTTAAACTGACCTTTCAAATGAAAACAAACTGAACGGTAATTTGTAATGTTAATTAGGTCAAACCCACCCCCTTCCTTGGTCAGTGTTCATTCTGTGGGTTCTTGGTTAATTTCCACTCTTTTGATGAAATCCTGAACAACTCGCATCGCTAAAGCTGTCACCGAAAATTTGCGCGTAATATGCGAGAAACAACGGGGAGCGCGACGTAGACAGGCGCGGAGGGGTGAGAGAGCTCCTTCCCCCTCGCGCGCTCCTTTCTTTGTTGTGCCCATTCCGAGCGCCTGTGCCAGCTCGATTCTCACAAAGAAGCGTTAATACGACGGTGATAAAATTAACTGGCTGTTTTCCAGCGTTTTCCGGCGACTTCTCAGGAGAAACCCAATGAGAAAGAAAGACATCAACTGATCAAAGCAAAAGACAAAACAATGTACTAACCTCACTCGAAAACGAAGAACATTTATTCAAAGCTCTCTTTCTGTACAAAAATGAAGGTTACAAAGTATGTGCTTAAAGTGAATTTCTTTTCAAAAGTTTTTCAAATTTTGTTTTTCTTATAATAGTAATAATAATAATGATAATAATAATAATAATAATAATAATAATAATAATAATAATAATAATAATAATAACAATAATAATAATAATAATAATAATACAGCTGAACCTCCACTGAGCAGCAACCTATTAAACGGTCACCCTCTATTAAGAGGCCGGTTACCAAAGTCCGGAAATAATTTTGGCCTTCCCAACGAGTTTTCCCACTCTTGTCGCCTCTCTTAAGGGGCCATCAAGCACTTTATACACTTAGTTTGGCTTTATTTCAAAAATATGATGAAGGAAAAATAATTCAGTCCGAGATAGAAGGTGACGACCGATTGTGGACCAGTAACGTTTCTGCCGTTGCCTGTTTGTTTTAAAATATAGTGATGTTTCCGCTAAAGATTATGCTAATTTATGACTATCATCTATTGAGCGGCCACTTGCCGGTACCCCGAGGGTGGCCGCTTAATGGCGGTTCAACTGTAATAAAGATAGTAATAATATGAACAATAATATTTATAATAATAATGATCATAATAATAATGGTGATGATTCGGATAATGATGATGACGATACAGATCTCCTCCACAAGCTATAGCTTCGTGTCCGGTTCCTAGGTTCCTTTTTATGGAAGTAAAGGACTGACCCAACACTGAGGAACAACAGAGTTTTAAGAATCGAGCGTGCAAGTCCTGGAAAAACTTATCAGTAATTACTATTGCCAACAACAGCCACTTCAATCAACAAATTCACAAAGACGCTACTGTAAGTTTACGGTAAAACCTTGCTGCATGCTTACATCGATTTGAAGTATCGACTTTTTTCCACGCTCTAAGGACCATAAAACAACAAAACCACAAGCAACTTCCAACATAAAAGTTTTACGTTAGTCTCTATATGCAATTTTAAAGACAGGTTACAAAAAAACCCAGTGTTGGTCGACGCTCTGTTACTAACAAAGTTTAACGACATTCAGTAGAGAAATAAAAAAAACCGTTTATGATACATTTTCCTCTCTGACTGAGAATGCTCAAATATATATCACCATAAGTACTTTTTTCCACGTTTTCAGTAAGTCTCGAAGAGGAAGAGGTATCCAAAACGGAAGCATTCTTCGTTTCGCATTTGCTGTCTTTTCGCTCGTCTTTTCGATACGAACTCAAGAAGTGAAATTGCAAACAAATTTTGACCACTTCAAGTATAGTTTGCGCGTGAACAAAAAAAATTTGGGATGGAATATTCTTCTTTCGTTAAGCCCAGTTCGTCAAACTATTTACACCTCGACTGAATAAACTTGTATCGAAACGACTTTGTTTCAAAACGACCGGAAACCCTCGTCGCGACTTACGTGAGATCCAGGATGGCCCGTCATAATTAATGGGGCTAGAGATTTTTTAGCCACATAATGTGGCATCTATCTGTGTAACATTTGGCAGATAAAGTTTAACTTTCCGCCTGTACGCCGTGTCTTTCCATATTGGATTCCTCTCCAGATAGACTGTTTGTAGCTTGGTGCAGGTCTTAAACTGGTCCAAATCTTCCCAGGAATCGAGTTGATTATCGTTGAACTGAAGAGATAAATAAACGCCAGTAGGTGTTACTTTATAATTCAAGCGTTTGGCTCTCAATAGACCATCCGAGTCTCAGAAGACACCTCAGTTCGCAATAGCCAGTATATTCATCTCAGTAACACAGTAAAAAAAGAGCCAATTAGTTATTTAAAAATGACGCAACAGACAGATGAATTAGTAGTTTTTGACATAAGCTTTTTCAGCAGAGCCGCATGCCAAATATACTTCGTAGAGCGATGGAAAAGAAGTCAGCGAAAACATATACAGCATAAATGGAAAGAATAAAGACACAAGCTTCTACACAACATTTTCCACGCATTATGAATAAATACAACACTGTAAAATAGTTAAGCTCTTCTGCCTGATATTATTATTTCATACGACGGATTGTACTCACCCAAAATTCTTCCAAGTTGACAAGCTGAGAGACATTCCTGATTCTTTTTATCCTATTAGATGCTAAATCCAGTGTTTTGAGGTTGATCTGTGTACACAGAGTAGAAAACAATGCTCTGTAGCATCAAGATCAAATGTGCCAAAAAAGACAAGAAACTTATCCTTCAAAGGAATTTTCTGTACCTGTGAACCCTGAACTCTTTTACCTCTCCAGTTTGGCACTGAAGGAGCTCTCTAGAGAGGAGTGGGAGGGGGAACCGTGCGAAAAGTAACTCTGGAAAGTACCGCAACCCCACACTTCAGGCTTCTCCAGGAATTCTACCGGGCATTTGAATATTCCAGACAAAATACTGATGCCGGTTACCCGGTACGTATACAAAGTTTATCAACTTTTGTACAAAGCTAACGTTATGATGAAGATCAACGTAAGAGTGGACCAGACGGCAGGGGATGAAACAGCGGCACCCAACGACCGAATGTTTCCACATATGTCAGAAGTGTGTCACAGGGTTTACTCTGTGCTTTAGAAGCCTGTTTGGTTAATTTGGAGCTGCCCTAAAAACTTTTTATCTTTCGGATGTCTTAGGGGAACTTCAGTCGCCAAAAATTTTTAGGTGGCTTTTTCGTCTCATACAAAACTGTTAGCTACCCTGATGTGTTCGGTCGAGAGTTCGCGAGCATGGGGTAGGGCGTACTGTAATAGGCGTAATGTTATTCTGGGGGTTTGTTTTTTCTTTATTCAGAAATTTTCAGGAAACCTTTTCTTACAAGAATTTCAGTATTTTGACCACTTTGTTTTCTGATGACCGTTATCACTCTCCTATTAAAAGTCTTTACTTACCAAGTTGTCAAGGCCTTCGATTTCTTCAATGCCATTGTCGCTAATGTAGAGTTCTTCTAGTTTAACTAAACCATCTAAACCTTCCAGCTTGACAATACGATTGCTCTGGAATGAAAATAAAACTAGGACTTCACTAACTTTTATTAGCTACTAATGTAAGTCACTGCTTCCCACATTTCTGCAAAACAATCCGTTTGATTTGAAAAAGAAAAAAAAAAACACTCGACACGTAATATAGACTTTGAGGGCTTCCTTACAGTGAGTGCAACCATTTCCTCAAAGGAAGAATTTAAATATAGTCAACCTTCACGAATGGCGGCCACCTCTCCACAATAGCCACCTCTCACAGTCCATACATTGACTCTAGTTTAACCCTCTCTACATTGGCAAGCGCCACTACAGCGCATCCCCAACTGCCAAAATAACCTCTCAAAAACAGCCAGTTTTTCAGCGACTAACACATGAAGTCAGGAATGGACATGAAATTTGACCCATATGGAGCATTGATGATTGCGGCAATCGTTTTAATTGTGTTCCATATAATACTGCTGGAGTAAGCATAGGTTGTCTACTGTCGACAATATTTATAGCAAATGTTGCGAGCCTTGCTCGCATTTGGTCATGTTGACGTTTTGATTCAAAAAAATATGTAAGTTTTTTTTTGTGTATTTTAGCGCTACAGATCATTTTTATGATTGGATTACCATTATGGGATACAGTAGGCATGAACTTAGCAAGATAAACTCATTGCACTCCCTCAAAAAAATATGTCATATTACACCCCCATCTCTCCATAACAGCCACTTTATTCCGTCCCTAATTTGGCCGTAGAGGAAAGGATCGACTGTATAACCAAATTGAGATTCATATTAGGTACATGTAATTAACAGTTATTCCTCGAGACCAAATGAGCTCTGAGTCAATAGCCCATTTGGCCTTCGGCCTCATGGGCTATTGACTCAGAGGCCATGAGGGCGAGAGGAATAATTATTGTTTTAGTAAAATCCAACTATTTGGTCAATAATATCGAGACAAAACAACCTTAGCTAGTTAAAGCTAGACTTTAATCCTTTTTTGCTGCCAAAAAGCCGGCACTTTTCGCTACTAGTGGGCTACAACTTATAGCCTAGTATCAGCTCAACCAATCAGAACACAGCGTTGATAATAGACCACTAGTTGGATTTTACTAATGTTTGTTAGACAACAACAAAAACTGAAGTTTTTACTCACCTGAATACTGAGTAACTTCAGATTGGTAAGACAACTGAGATTCTAGCAACAAAAAAAGGCAACAGAAATGCTCACTACATTAAAATCCAAATAAAATGTTTTTTTTAGGGGGCGGGGGGGGTCTAACCTTGACAAAGACAAAAACTTTCAAAAAAGTGTTTTGATTCATACTTACTCTTAACTAGTAAACACTTACATCAAGTTTTGTAATCTTGTTTTTCCCCACAAATAAGCTGTGTAGTTGGGTTAGACCTTCAAATCCTTCCAGAACCTTAAAAAGACATAAACGTTTTGATTTTGATTACATTCAAGTTTCAATTTCTTCTCGAAAGGTTTATACAGCTACTGTCAAGCCGACTGAATCACAACTAACTTTGTACTCACCCTAATTTTGTTTGCACCAAGTTCCAACATCTCAAGCTGTGAAAGATTCTGAAGGCCCTCTATCTTGGAGACCTTGTTTTGAACAAGGTAAAGCTTTTTGATTTTTGTCAGGCATCCCAAGTTTTCTATTACTTTGATTAGATTGAATGACAAATCCAAACTCCTTAAAAAAAATACAAATTCATATCCTTTATAGGTTTTGATATTAGATACAATGATTGGAAATGGTCAAACAAACTTTATTTGCTCCCTTGTCTAGATATAACGTGTTATAACTTTCATTATTTTCAGCTGATAAAGCTCAAGTTCATCAAGACTATAATAAAGTTTCATGAGGTGAAACCGTTCTGCATGATTTGGTTAGACCAACATTATATTCATTTGACAACTGAAGAGTCATTTACTTTGCACTCTCAACTCAACCCAACTTTCATTTCCTTCAATTCTAGTCCACTGCATTAAACTGATTTATAAATAATTGGCATTTGACAACAAAACAACCCAGGAAATAAGAGCCGTCCCTTGGGAGTTCAGTTGATCCTCAGCAACTAACAAACAATTCTTGCTTCAGTCTGCAAGGATATTGCTAAAGGCCGGCAGCCGGCTAATTTTACCAGCTGAAAAAGAGCTTACCACTGCCTTAGATTGCTCTGGAAAAGAATGATATCAGGGAATTTTCAAAGTGGAGTTGAGTAAAACAGCCAGCTTGACCAGTAAAAAAGTTAGCTTACTCATGTAGCTTTTCCTTAGCTACATCCCTGAGTCTGTCGCCAAGCACTGATGGCCATTACAGAGAGATTTGATTGGATTACTTAGATCCTCATAACATACATTGTTTAAATTATAGTACTTTTTCTCGAAAAAATTTTCTTACGTAAGATTGGTCAAATTTGCCAGGCCCTCTATCACGTTGATCTGATTATCATACAGGTCCAGCTCTTCCAATGTTGTTAATGTGCTCAGTCCTTCCAGTTTAGAGACGTTATTTCTCCGAAGGCAAAGGGACTAAAGATTAAAACAGAAATGGCTACATAAAAACCAAAAAGGCAACAGGAAAATAAAGCCATGCAATCAATCCAATATTAAATGCACTGTTTGTTTAAAATTAACACAAATTTCTTAATTAACCGCTAAAAAATAATAAATAATAACATACCTTGACACAAGTCAATCGTTCTAAGTTGTCTAGTTTCTGGATCTTTGCATGGGTAAGGTCAACTTCCTAAATAAAACATTTAGAGAAATTGCAGTTGCTCAAGAACAGAATACTTTTATAATAGCGCTAAGGATTGTTCACAATTCAAAGAGCCTGAGCCCTAGTGGAGACTCCTAGAGGACTAACCCCTTACCTTTTTATACCCAAATTTTTTGTAGAAAAGGTACTCCTTTCATATAACTTCTATTGACAAATGGTACCTCTTTCACATACCTAGTTTTGAACTTTGTATACATTTAAATAGCTGTAAATGCACTGTTTTAAGATATGAAGAAATCACAAAACCGCAACTTTTTTTTTACTTCTTCACAACCATAAAATGCATCTGTCAGCCCTTTTGTACCAACTGAAATGACATATTTTCCTACCCTTTCATATATATCAAGAAGTGAAATCCCCACCCTTTCATATGCTTGAAGCCTGGGAAATATACCTCTTTGGGGCAGAGACTTCCCCAGTTATTTTGTTACCTCTGCATCCTGCATCCTTGATGCATAAAAATTCCCAAAGATGCAAAATAATTCATGGCATGCGTCCAATGGGAAAGATCGATCAATCGCTCTGAATATGTGTTTTTGTAGAAATATCCTGTTTGCATACTTTCTGTGGCAGTTCATATTTTTTTAGCCTTGGTTGTGCTTTAAAATAGAAGGATTATATTTTAATTTTAGTATACTGTAATACAGAGTGTTGAAGTGACCTGGAGTCTGTCTTCAGATTAACTGTCTGGTTATATAAAGGCCCAAGCAGTTTCAATTTTGGACTAGCAATGAGTTATGGGTATGCCTCCAAAGCAATGGATTTGCCTTTCAAAACTAACAGAAAACGTGCACAAACGTGTGACAGGGACCTGTCATTGACACTTAGCTTGTGGCCGAGTATATATGTACAAGGTCCCTTGTACTCGAGCACAATTCAAGTAAATGAGTGTTTTGTATGTGTCGCTGTGAAGGGTATGGTTTTCAAGCAGTTACTCTAGGATAGGGTATATAAATCAGAGCGTTTGGGTCTAGAATAGGGTATCATTTTTCAGGAAACTGATCAGTTGGCTGAAGATTTTATCTAGACTAGGGATTGCGGTATAAGGTTTTGTTTTGGCTAGACTACTGTGCTGGTGACTTCGGTAGTTTCTGGAAAACAGCTGCTCTAGGATAGGGGGGATCTGGGGAGTTTACTTTAGTATAGGATAGCAAAATTCAGCTGAACTAGCTCTGGTATAGGTTAAGGGTTCCAGGGCCCCAGCGGCACATCCCCACCCAGAAATTCCTAAAGTAACCCCCCCCCCCCCGGGTGCAGAATATTAGGAAATCCTCCTCTTTCGGGGAATTTATTCAACTTTTGCAATTTCCAACATTTTCCAACGGTACCAACAAAGTTTTTTAAACAATCGTAAGCTTACCTCTGCATCGGCTTCAACGTTCCGTATTTGGACATCACCAGGCTCTACAATAGGATAGGAAATCACTTTCAATATAACATCAATAAAATTATTAAGGTTTTGGCTACGTACCCTCTTCGCTTTCTGTAGGCGAGACCGGGATCATGTTTGGCGTTAAAACCTCGGAGTTTTCTCCCTCCATTTTGATTTTCGCTTCNAGTATAGGATAGCAAAATTCAGCTGAACTAGCTCTGGTATAGGTTAAGGGTTCCAGGGCCCCAGCGGCACATCCCCACCCAGAAATTCCTAAAGTAACCCCCCCCCCGGGTGCAGAATATTAGGAAATCCTCCTCTTTCGGGGAATTTATTCAACTTTTGCAATTTCCAACATTTTCCAACGGTACCAACAAAGTTTTTTAAACAATCGTAAGCTTACCTCTGCATCGGCTTCAACGTTCCGTATTTGGACATCACCAGGCTCTACAATAGGATAGGAAATCACTTTCAATATAACATCAATAAAATTATTAAGGTTTTGGCTACGTACCCTCTTCGCTTTCTGTAGGCGAGACCGGGATCATGTTTGGCGTTAAAACCTCGGAGTTTTCTCCCTCCATTTTGATTTTCGCTTCAACGTTTTTGTCAGCGGTATTCAATGAGGGTCGTGTACGCCTTCACTAAATGTCCTCTAACAGATAGTGGATCGTATACGTCTATAATCGATGGCAGAAAATTCTCCATCTCCCTCACCTGAACGAGCAATTTATGGATTTGTACTGTACTTAGGGACTTACTTTGGAGTTGGTGAGAGTTTAGAGAGGAAATGAAATATGTAATTCATGTATAAGATCAAAGACGATGAACACCAGCAGTCTTAAATTTTTGAAAATCACAGTTCATTTTTTATTTAACTTAATTAAAATAATGGCTACGGTTTGATCTCTGGAAATTATATTGTCCATTTATCGCGATATCCCTCTAGAAGAAAGCCAGGGACAGGGACAGTTGATTTGTACAACTCACAACGTATTTTCTTTGCTTTTTATGTTGTCAGGTCTTTATTTAATCTGGGCATGTGTTCCGGAAGAATGGCTTCACAGTATTGGAATAACATATCTTCCACAGAGGTATGAAGAAGCAAAATCATGTAACTTGCACACACACTGCAATCTGACTAAGATCCTGGGTAGGGCTATTGGTAGTAGGAGGGAGGGGGGTGGGGTGGGAAGGTACTCAGGCAGGGATGGATGGGGATGTGCTGCCTCTTCCTCCAATAGTCTGTACTAGATTGGGAGTCGCAGAGTCATGACCCTTGTTGATTTAACCAATACCTACATAGGTATAGCCTGTAAACAGACGTTTTATTTTTCTTTTCGTTCTTTTCAAAAGCTGGCGGTCAATAAATCTCCCGCAGTTTAGATTTTATCGCGCTTGGCGGACTTGGAAGAGAAAATGGAGGGTCTGTGAACAGGCTAACATAGGTATTTTTGATGAGCACCCCCACCCCATCCCCCAACCAACACTTGATTATAAAGGGGTGGGTAAGGGGTCATGGATGGGCTGGTAAAAGAAAAAGGAGGACAGGAAGGAAAAGAGAAAGGCAAAGGTCACTTCCTCTCCCAATTCACTGCTCTGTTTGGAATTTTTGTCTATTGCCAACTAGGAGACTAGTTCTTAGCCCGGGAAGAAAACATGTTTGCTGACTGAAAAACAAATAGAAATTATGACAGTTTTACTGCATACCGATAAGGAAACTTAGTAGGGGCTTATTTTTTATCTTTACTTTTTCATTCACTAGGTACTGGGTGTTAGCAGCACCAATTTATCTTTGCGTTGCTTTTGTTTTTGTGGTGATATTTTATGTGGCCTACAATTTTACTATCACCCTACCAGTGGATTCAATCAATACAATCACAGGTTTGTAAAGCATTCTATTCAATACTTTGGACTCTGTGGGGTTACTAACTCATACTGTCTTGTCGTGACTTGAAGGTAGATGTATGATGGCTGCCATGTGTTACACCCTAAAATGTTCCATAATGCTCAAACCTGACTGAAAAAAGATGTTGTAAAGAACATAAAACTGTAAAAGCCTCACAAGGAGAAAACAGACAATGTACAACTAAAATTGATCCATTGTTTAATGAAATCCTACCTGTGGTCATGTATGATGACAAGACAGATCAAAATATAACAGACCACCCATGGGAAGTGGGGGTAGTGCTCCTGGGAATTCTTAGTGGGGGTGTACTGCCTGGTTCTCCAAATCCTGACCAAATTTCAGACCAAAAATTGTCATTTTCCACACCCGTTTTCAGACCTGATGTCTTAAATCCATACCTGTTTTCAGACCTGGCCTTTAGGCAGAAATTATGTCATAATTACATAATTATATTAGAGTGCGAACAAAAAATTTAGAACTTCAAATGCATTTTGAATTCACATATTTCTATTTCTTTCTTATTCATTTGGAAGTGAAATGATAAACAGGTTCATGTGCTTCCGTAGTTCCTTCGAAAACCATACCCAATTCCAGACCCTAACCCTAACCCCTAACCAAGGCGCTAACCCTAACCATTTTCCCCTTTAATTTGGCAACTGGCTCTGTTCAGCTGAAAAATGCACAGTATTTCTATTGTCATGTATGTGTAGAGAAGTTGAAAGAACAATGTTATTAATGAAAAATATTACTGACAGTAAGTAGGCAGTAATATTTGCCATACTTATGCTAGTCTTAGCTTATTAACCTCAAACCATTTTGCTTGTTAATGGACTGATACGACTTCTTGATTCACGCACAAGTTAGAAAATTCTTAGCCACCTACAAAGCCCAGAAACAACATACCTAAAAAGGTATTCCCAAAAATATAACGCCTAGTATTTTCTTATCCAAAGTCCATCATGTAGTAAAAAAGTGAATCTGAATTAATTGATTCTTCAGGTGTTGTGTTCTTCATTTTTTTTTACTCTGCAGATACACATGCCCGGTATGAAGGTGAAGACACAAAACCAGTGCTGCCTGGCTCAGTACCCCCACTCTATGATATACCACTCCGTCAGGTGAATAAAGTACTCTATGGAGACAGAATAACAAGTTACAGCTGTGATAGTCATTAGGAATGAAGTGACTAACTGTGGGATATTTTCACAGTCCAATGGGCCTGCGAACAGAGGTATTCCCAGTTGTCACTGAGAGAGAAGCAAGGATCAGAAATAAGTCTGGGTTCACAGTCTAGGCAGAGCTCAAATAAGAAGAACAAAGTGTAAGAGGTCACTGTCTGATAGCATCAGTAGCAACATTCCTGCCCAGTTTTTGCACCAGATGGGATATTATGATAGATCTATACATTATTTTTTTCACTGAATTTGTAACAAGTTACCTTTGCCTGGTGAACCAAGGCACTGATAACATTTTAGTGAATGCCTGTCACTCAAACTAGGGACTGATACTCTGCAACAAAAGTGATGGGGGTGCTCATTGAAAAAAATATTATATTCCAAAACACCCTTTTTAAGGCCATAGCACTTCAAAGATGCATTAATGTTAGAGAGATTAAGATTCACGTTTCCACCAAACGGCAAACATGAATTTGTACCATGAGACCAAATTTCCCCCTTAATTGTTGTTTACTGTTTATTACTTCTACTAAAAAATAACTAGAAATTCATGCTAGTTTTATCCATAAAAATTGTTCTGAACAAATTTTATCTGCTTACTTTCTATTCTCACTGAGAAATTCTCAACTTGAATCTGACGTTTGCCATTTGCTGTAAACCTGACTCTTAAACTCCCTCTATTAAGGAATTCTCTTGACTCAAGAACAACTGCGAACTACTGGCTGGTAAAGGTCCATATTCGCAGCCACCAAGGATGAGCCTGTGTGCAAGTCTCTCTTTCAGAACTTGCTCTACCCTCTGTTCCCCTTTGCTTTCACCTTCGTTTAAAATATGATTACCACTCATAAAAGGTACATTTTGTAAGAACTTTTTATTTGTTTTGATTGACCTTGAGTTACAATAGAAATAACAGCAAGAGATAATGATCTTAAGAACTAGATACACTTTGCTGTAGAAGTAATTATTATATTTTATTAAAATTACAAATAGATTTGCGTTGTTGCGAACACGAATAAACTGCATAGTAAGGTCAATGAAATAATTGACTATCAAACTACACCAAGCAAGGAACTTTAAGCTGAAAAAAAAAAAATGAACTCTGCATTTAACACCTTGATAATGAGCCTGGTGTTAAAAAACGTTTTGTAACCTCACTGTTTTGAGACATTTCTTTTAATTTTACTCAGTTTTGTGGGCAATTGTTCATAATAACATCATTTGACTGCAAATATCAGAATACATTTTTGGTTTCCTTTTTCATTCACACTAACCCTGTAATCACTAAGAGAATTCAACATTTCACTTCTCTTTACATTGCTAATGCTCAATCAAACATAAATGTCACGAGAAAAAGGAAATGATCAACAAGTGACAAAAGTGTTGAAAGTTTCTAATTTGCACAAGAAAACATAATGTAATAGCAGTCAAATGACCTCATCATGCAAATGTCTTTCTGCATCAAACAGCTTTTATTTAAACACCTCACAGCCTGTCAGTGCAAAACTAAAGCATTCTACTGGCACTGTAAAACAATCCACTGAAATTTTTCTTGACTAGTATATGAACAAATCAAGGCCAAGCAACAACATTATAAATGCTTTTTTCTACACTGAATCAAATAGCATTCATTTGACAACAAAGCCAAAACCTTGGAGATCTGAAAGGATCAAAAGCTCTCAAGATCATGGCTTCTAGAAAAACCTTTTACCAGCCATTAAAACAGTACATATCCCCACCAAGTGGGCAAAAATGTTCGTTTTGGAATGGCTTTCAATGAGTATGGTTTCAATCTCTGAAAAATACCATAAAATTATACAAAAGTTCTGGGGATTCTAGAAATCTCCTTTAACCTATTTGATTGTCAAGTATAATAAGAGCAATGCCTAACTTCATAAAATTACTTCTGACGATTCTTTAGAACACTGAAGAGTTCCTGTTGCATTTGTTTCTGTTTTCCTTGATCCGCAAGGCTGTTTACACTCCTGAAAGACAAATGCATTGTGTTACTTTATTATTTAACTAGGTTAATGAAAAGTATTTTGGATTATTTTTATAGCTTGCATAAGAGGGAGACTTAAGAACGCTCAATTTTAAATTGGTGCAATTTGTTATCACAGAGTTCAATTTTCCTTCAGTGCTTAAATACCCAGGTGGGGTTTAGCCCAGAGCAATTTAATATCCTAATCACTAAACTGTTAACACCCTGCAAAAAAGGCACATTTTCATTTGGACTTTTCTATACCTTACGTGACCATCCTGAGCACCCTGTTTGGTCATGTAACCTTCCCTTTCTTTTAGAAAAGGCAGTAACACTAAGTAGGTTGCAATGATCAAGAATTTTCACGTTTCCTTCATGTAACTGGTACATATGCTGGCATCTTATCATACATAAAGAAAACCTTTTAGCCAAGATCGCTTAGCAATAATATCTGGGAAAAGGAAAGTTAAATATTGTCTTTCTTAACTACATTTGCTCATTACAAAGTTCTTGTTCATCTTGTATCTCTGTTCAAAAACTCCTCCCCTGCCCGCACCCCAAAAAAGAAAAAAACAACAGAGAAATACTGCTTCTCAGCACTTTTTATTCAATGATATAATTATGCTGTCTGAACAGGCAACAGCCTCTTTCTTTTTTTTTTGTTCAATGTTGCACACTCTTCTTAGATCTATCAACACTATGTTATTTATCAAGCTTATTGACGTTAAAAAAAAACTGCACATGTGATGTCAAAATAGACACATCTTTTATGATGCACTTACCTCAAGGCATTTACAATATCCTTTGTTTTGCCAAAGTATATATCATTCAGAGTATTTCTCATCTTGTTTTCCATTTCCTTAAAAAAGAAAAAGAAAAAAACACGACAGAATAAAATTTGCAATGCTGAGTACACTTCTACAACATGAAATAACACCTGGGGAAAAATACTTTTCAAATTAGACAATACCTCAACCTGCCTTCCAATGTTAGCAATATGGGGACTAGCATCACTCACAGCACTGTCTGCTTCAACCTAAAAGTAAACTTCGTTTTAGTGCAATATTATAAAAGGGCTGGAAAAAAATTGAAATCCAATTGCCCAGTGCACAAGTCAATTCAGTTTTCACTAGCCCCACTTAAATATTGCTTGCCCAAAAGGAACACAATGCCTTATCATCTACAGTTCTAAGGTACTGACTATAATAAGTTATAAATTAAAACAAAGTGCATGATATTACTAGTACTAAATGTGGAGCCAGATACAGAGTAACTATTGTATTTGACCAATATTGGGCCTGGAGAAGTAACATGAGCAAGCAAACGTGCACTTGGATTTTATACAGATACATTCATGCTTTCAACTAATTGGGTCAGTCACCCTGCAGTCTTCAGTTTTGAAATACTGTAAAATTCCAAAAGTAAGCCCCTCCATGTTTAAGCCCCTCCAAATATAAGCCCCCCAAAATCGTAATGCAAAAAACCCTTTGTTAAATTGCCCCTCCAAATATGAGCTCCCCAGGGGGCTTGTACTTGGAATTGGCCCTCGAATACAAAATAAAACAAAGCAAAAATGGTAAATTTCCTTCCCACTACATGCTAGCCCAATCGATTTTGAAACGCAAATTTCCCTCCGTAGATAAGCCCCTCCGAATATAAGCCCCTCAAAAAGGGCCTTTGAAAAATATAAGCCCCAGGGCCTCTTTTCGGAATTTTACGGTAGTTTCTGTCTGGAAATTGACAGTTTGACAGACTCACAGAACCACTGAGGCTATTATTTCACTTGCTCACTGGACCACCAAACTTCTATTTTTACTTGCCCACAATCAAAACTTACTTGCCCCGGGCAATGGCACCTGGGTTTTTCCTGCCCTGTTACAAGGACAGTGTCAACCTTGACTGTTTTCTTTATTTTCAAGTTACAGAACAGTGCCTTATCCTGTCAATCAAAAAGTGACAAAAACACCTATTACCTGTCTTGTCAAACTCCCTCCTAAATTCATCATTCCTGATCCTGCCTTATTAGTCTAGAGAAAAAATACAAACAAAAAAATTGGCCATCCAACTAGGGTCTTAAACCTTTAAACTGTAGAATCAAAGTTTAAGTTCTTATCTATTGTCGCTATAAGAGGTGGGGAGAATTTGATGTCAGATATATTTATCTTGTGTGATCATGATTCTTCACTAATTTGTTTGGAAAAGCATGGAAATCCTAGGGAGAATGAAGGAATGAATGAAGAATGAAGAGTCGTGGATGAGAGGACAACAGACGTACGTCCCCTACTCTTTTCGAACTGTTCAATGATGGATTTATACCTGCAGCCAAAGCATAGCAGTTGAAGTAAGCTTATAATGGGCTTGTCGGCCACCACTTTTCTCCTGAAAGGTAACAGCACAAACACAATTAACACTAACCTATCAAGAAAATCTTTGAGAATACAAAATCAGTTATGCAAGGTGTCAAAAAATCCAATATGTTTATTGTTTATCTAGCTCATGCAAGGCAACTAAACCACACATACCTGAACCTCCACAACATGGATAGAATCCCAGCAGCCTTTGATCTTTTTTGATCCATCACCAGCTAAAATAAAAGTACATGCATAAGCAAAAACCTTTTGACCACAAAGAAAAGAGTACTTCCTCTCACTTAAAAGGAATTAAAAGAATTCTTTTCTGTTTGGCAATTCACTCCTTCTAAATGCAGTTTCACTTTGACACAATATTACTAACAATAGTAATGTTCCAAAGATGAGGAGTCCATGGCTGCCTTTAGCATGACAACAATACAATGCAAATTATTATTATCATTATTAGCATTTTATACCGGTAGACAGAAATCTTATTTCTTTAACAAAATATAAAATAAAAGAACTACCTTGTTAAAGAAATAAGCCACATTTAATTAGGAGCCTTTGAATAAATCCTACATAAGGAGATTTCAGCACAGGACAGAATTTTACATTTGACTCTTCTTAGTTACTTTTTGTTGGCTTAAAACAGAGCACATAAATACGACACT